ATAAAAAAAATCTCAATCTGATGTAATGAACTGAGCTGGCCTAGCCTCTAGTCCTGGATCTACCATTAGCTGTGTTATGTTGGACAAGTAACTTACCCTTTCTAATCTTTACCTTATTTTCCAGTACTGTAAAAGGAGAACTTTTAACCAGATCTCTAATGTCCCTTCCGGGTCTAAAATTCTAAGCTCTAATCTCTGAGTATAACTCAAAACATATTCTCAGTGATAATCACTGATACCTTTTGGCTTCTATGAAGAATCCATTTTTTCACCATCTCTTTGACCATAGGAATGTCTCCATTTAGGCTTGTGCAGATTTTTCTTATTTCTTTCTTCTTTTTGGCCAGATACAGTTGGTTTTTACCAGGTGTTTATCCACTGCCCTAATGCCCTTTCTTTCTCTTTTCTCTTATCCATTTTTGGGAGTCACTTTCAGTTCTATTGGTGTTTTTATATTGCACATATTTACAAATTATCACTACTTTGCCAGAGGTTGCCTTTCTGATATCATTCTGTGTTCTCTTTCTACAAAACTTGTCTAATAGAAAAACAGTAAATCAGAATTGGGGGGGGAAGGGAAAGTAGCCCTTCAGTGTATGTTACTTCCTCTATTCCACCCCCCCAAAGATAATAAAGGTGCAATATAGGAATTTTTAGGGAAAAACTGGATGCCATCTGATATAATACTGGAAAGGGTAACAATTGTAATTGGTCAGGAAAAAAGATAACAGGGAATGAATTAACATTAGAAATGAAGAGGTCAGAATATCATTATCTGCAGATGACATGATAATATATTTAGAAAATCTTCCTGTCTCAACCATAAAATTGAGACAATAAATGAGTTCAGTAAGGTTGAAGTATACAAGATTAATTCACATAAATTATGTGCATTTTTCTTACATATTGGCCATAAGAGCAAGAAAATAGGCAAAAGAGACTCTGTTTACAACAATGAAAAAAATAGTAAATATTGTGGGAATTAAACACCAATGAGTAAAATAAAGGAAGACTTCAATAATTAGAGTGACACTCAGTGTTCATGAATAGCTCTGATAGAGTAAAAATGACAATACTCCAAAAATTAATTTAACGCCACACCCATCAAAATGCAAATAGGTTTTGTCATAGAATTCAAAACACATTTCCTGGGTACAGCTCAGAGCACTGAACACCTGAACTAATTAATTATGCTTTTTTTTATAAAATGATTTTTTAAAAGGCATCATGAAGTATAAAGTGTAATATAGTAGAAAGAGCCCTGGATAGGAATTCTGAAAACCTGGCTTCTAGTTCCAGTTTGGGTTTGACACAAAAGCTATGTGGCCTTGGACAAGTCATTCGACCCCTCTGCACCTCAGTCAGTCAATGAGCAAGCATTTATGAAGCACCTACTATGTGTCAGGCACTGCCCTAAGTACTTTACAAATATTATCTCATTTGATCCTCCCAACAACCATGGAAGGTAGGTGCTATTACTATTCCCAGTTTACAGAAGAGGAAACTGAGGTAAATGGAGGTTAAGTGACTTAAGTCACAGAGTTATTAAGTGTCTGAGATTGAATTTGAACTCAGGTCTTCCTAACTCCAAGCCCAGAGCTCTGTTCACTCTGGCACCAGCTGCTTCTAAGGTAAGAAAATACTAAATAATTTTTGAGGGAGCACTAACTTCTGGACTGGGAAGTCATCCTGAAGGAGCTGGTACTTGAAATCTGAAGGGAGTTTGGGATTCTAAGAGTCAAAGGTGAAGGAGTTAATTTCTAGTGTGAGACACCTCCTGTGCTGAGACACAAATTCTAGAGAAGCAAACAAATCAGTTTGACTAGAAAGTAGAAGCTTTTTTGCCTTTTCTTTTTTTGTGGGCACCAAACAGGGAAAAAGTAGGTATGGAAAGAAAGAAAATAAAAGTAATTTAAGGGGACTCTTCTAGAAAATGAGCTCTTTGGACAAATGCAAAATATTTCAAAATGCCAACACCAAAGTACAAGTACTTTCTTTCAGTACACTTACCTGTTTCAGTTACAACTTAACAAAACCTAGGCTTTTAACTTTCACATGTTCAGGCCCGTTCACTTGTGTCTTCACTATTTTGTCTTCCACTGCCTGCTTCAGGAACAGCTATCACATGTGATTATATGTTGCTTATCAAAAAGATGTTTTGGGTTTTTTTTCTTTTAGCTAATTATTAGGTAAGTGCCTTCAAAGAGAAATTAAACTCCTACAGCACAGCTTTCTTCATTCAGTTGCCTGGGCTTCCAGTTGCCCCCTCGTTCGCATTAGACTTGCTCTCTTACCCAGTGTCCAAGCAGAAAAGGAATGAAAATCAGATTTTGGAGCAACTCCATCAATCTAGCAAATCCCATGACAATCTTCTTTCAAGAATGATCCCTCTAGTGGCAATTCTTCTATGACACTCCATTTCCCTGTATACATACAGGCTATTCTGGATAAGGATCATACTCTAATTAGACTTTTTCCTCTTGTAAGGTTTTTACAACTGACTTCCTGCTGACAAAAATAGCCTCTTCTTACATAAACAGCTTCAGGCTCCTTTTTCCAACTGAACTTTTAAAAATACAATTTGAACAGAACAGAAAACTATTAAGCAAAGTTATAGTGCAGTTTCTTCACCCTGGGAAATGTTGTACCCCAATGGTGTCAAATTCAGATAGAAATGGAGCCAATAAGCCATCCATAAGGATCCCCGTGGGCTGCATATTGACTTAGAAGAGTATTAACATTATCTATGTTCTATTGTGTTTATTTTGTTAAATATGTCCCTATTACTTTATAATCTGATTTGGGCCCCATTTGGGAATATTGTGGGCCATGGGATTGCCAAACCTGCTGTGGAGTTATGGTATGAAGAGTATGAGTGGGAAGAAAATATAAATACTTACTGACTGCAAGTTGTATCCTCATTTAATTAGAGTTGTTTTTATTTTCTGCTGTAATTTTCTGTGTATGTTCTTAGAAGGGCAATGTGTCATGGCACCAGACTAGATTTTAAGAGAACTGAATTCAAATTCCACTTCAGATACGTCCTGTGTTATTATAAAGAAATTACTTAACCTCCAAACCTCAGCTTCCTCATCTCTAAAATGGGGGTATTATTACTTGCACCATCTCCATCACTATGGTATTGGAATGAAAGCATTTTGAAAATCTTAAAGCACTACGTAAATGTCAGCTGTTGTTTTGAATTTCATATGCTTATTTGATACCACTCTGTATCGATGGTTTTTTTTCTCAAGCCATTATTTTAGTAATCCTTCTAGATAAATTTGGTTTCCTATTCATTCCTAGATACCTTGTGATTTTGATAAATTTTTTTTTAGTATGAGTGGTGACTTTTAGAAGAGATTATAGATCCCACCATCTGGCCATTCAGTGCCACAGTTCCTTATTGATACTTCAAGTCCTTAAATCAGTAGACTGGTGCATTTACTGCCATGTTTCAGATAATTATTTAAAGAAATATTCAAGTATTTCTACATGCTCCCAGAGGGCAAATCCAGGAACACTTGATCAAAGTGGAAAAGACGCAGATTTTGGCTTGTTGTTAAGAAAAACTCTCTATCAATTCAAGCTTTCCAATGGTGGGATGGACAGGTGGTGGGCTCTTCTCCTTGGAAGCCTTCAAAGAGAAGTTGTATGAACCTTCCTCAAGTAAGTTACAGTGTGAATTACTTTTGTGTGTGGGTTGGACTAGACGGCCATTGAAGGTCCCTTCCAACTCTAAAATTCTGTGAAACATCTTAATACTGTTTTCAGTTCCGTGTCTCGATGCTGTCCTAAAGGTAATGATAGTAATAATAATAACTCACATTTATATTGCATTCTAAGAATTATAAAGTGATTTCCTCAAAACAAGCCTGTGAAGGAAATACATACCCTTTGAGAGACCTAATCTGTAATAGATTGTCATTAAATTGCCTTTCTAAACAGCGTCCCCCTTGGTCAGGAAACAAAGAAGTAATTGCTGGATTGAAAAAGCCACAAATCCTTCCCTGGTCTGGTCTTCTCTCTCTCTTTTTTTTTTAATTTTTTTTTTCATATTCTTTTGAGTTGAAAATTTTTCTCCCTTTTTCTCCCCCCCACCCTCCCCAAGACGGCGCACAATCTGACATAGGCTTTACATTTACATTAAACATATTTTCACATTAGTGAAGTTATAAGTAAAAATTAAAACAATAGGAGAAACCATCATAAAGGTGAAACAAAACTCAACAGAAGGTAAAAATAAGTGAGAGCGATTCGACTTCCATAGTTCTTTCTTTGGATGTGGACAGCATTTTCCATCCTGAGGCCTCTGGAGATGTCTTAGATCCTCGTAATGCTGAGAAGGGTTCAGTTTAACATTCTTAGTCATTGCATAACGTGGCTGCTATTGTGTACAAAGTCCTCTTGGTGTTGCTCACTTCACTCAGCATCAGACCATATAAGTCTTTCCAGGTTTTTCTGAAGTCAGCCTGTTCATCATTTCTTATAGCACGATAGTATTCCATTACATTCATATACCACAACTTGCTCAGCCATTCCCCAATTGATGGGCATCCTCTCAATTTCCAATTCTTTGCCACCACAAAAAGAGCTGCTATGTATATTTTTGTACATGTGGGTCCTTTTCCCATTTGTTTGATCTCTTTGGGATATAGCCCTAGAAGTGCTATTGCTGGATCAAAGGGTATGCACATTTTTGTATCCCTTTGGGCATAGTTCCAAATTGTTCTCCGAAATGGTTGGATCATTTCACAACTCCACCAACAATGTATTAGCGTTCCAATTTTCCCACATCCTCTCCAACATTTATCATTTTCCTGTTTTGTCATGTTGGCCAATCTGATAGGTGTGATGTGGTACCTCAGAGTTGTTTTGATTTACATTTCTCTAATCAATAACGATTTAGAGCATTTTTTCATATGACTATAGATGGCTTTAATTTCTTCATCTGAGAACTGTCTGTTCATATCCTTTGCTGGTCTTCTCTTAATATGCAGGGCACAATAGCCAACTCCTTGACATGTGTCCAGCTGCATAAACGAGCTGAGAAGATTGCTGTTATGTTGATGGAAAGAGGGCACTTGCAAGATGGAGATCATGTGGCCTTGGTTTACCCCCCAGGTGAGAGACTTGGGCAGAACATAGGTCTCCAGACATCTGAGACATGCCCTGCCCTGCCAAGAAACCTGTCATAATGTACACTGGTGCTCATCAGCAAACACACCTGTGTAATCAAAAAACCTCTCACATACTCAGGTGAAGCTCCCACTAATTTTCTACTCTGGAAACTAAAATTTGTTTATTTTGGTTTGTACAGGGGTCTAGGTGCTACATTTCCAGGCATCACAATTCCATGATGGGCTTGTTACAAAGTTTGAAAAAAAAATACCACTTAGCCAAGATCTCCTTTTTGGTTAAATTTATTTTATTAGGTACCTGCAGTTGCTTATTTAATCAATAGTAATTAAACTTTTCGCTGCCAATCAGTGATCACAAAATTGAAAAATCCCTCTGAGAAATGATGGAAAGATTAAAGTTTTGGGGGCTCCTTGGGCATTACATGCCCAAAAGAATAGCATGAATGAATGTGATCAGTGAAGCTTAACAGATACTGACGAGGGATTGTAAAAGGAGTCTGTTAAAGAGCTTAGCTGTTCATATAACCTTCTCTTAAGTTACTTCAGAGTAGTATTTATGCTGACAGGGGTGACTGATTAAACAATCTGATTTTCAGCTGAGAGTTTCTGTTTTGTTCTTCATGCAGGAATAGACCTAATTGCAGCTTTTTATGGCTGCCTATATGCAGGCTGTGTGCCAATAACAGTCCGACCTCCTCATCCCCAGAACATTGCCACGACATTACCGACTGTCAAGATGATCGTGGAGGTAAGGCTATCTGGGAAGGCAGAGCCTCTGTGAGCTGAAGACCAAGAAAATGCATGTTCTCTTTCGTAGTTAAACATAAGACTACTGCTGTCTACATGCATTTGAAGGTTTCTGTGTCATGATAGTAAGTAGTAGGCAGGTTTTCTTTTTTAATGTCTTAATGTTAAATGGTAATCAAGAGGCCCAGAATTCATTGCTTAGGGTCAACTTTCTGGTGATGAGCCACTTCATGTTTAGCTGGGCTAAAGTCTTAGCCCAGCCGCATGTTCACAGCCTTTTTAGCTTGGTAGGAAGTGGTTTTCTCCCTAGAATAGCCATTGAGAAACATGCATCACTTCTGTGCTGTGATAAGACTTAAGTTTAGGTTAAGGCAAGCCAATTCTCTCACTTCATTTCCTTTTTGTCCAGAGGCACATATAAGAGGGAGATTAGTCACTAGAGTTAGTGTACTTCAAGACCATGTATAAACCTAATTCAAGGGGTATTTATTAAGTGTCAAGAACCCTGCTAAAAGTAGTTTCCAAAAGTGGGTTAATGGTGCCACTGACAAATAGTAAAGTCAGAAGGAGAAGCACATTTAGGGGCAAAGGTAATAAGGACACTGTGAACATGTTGAGGATGAGGTGGAACATCCACAAGGGAGTTCTTGTTTGAGATACGAGTCTGGAGCTCAGGTGAGAGACCAGGGCTGGAGAGAGAAGAAAGAATCATCTGATTGGACGTCCGCTGAAGCTGTGGGTGTGACAGACCATGGAAGGGAAGAGCCAGGAAGAGAATGTGGAGGCAGCAAAGGAGACCAAAAAAATGATAATTTGGAGAAGTGGGAGGAGAATTAGCAGAGGGGAGTAACTCTGAAGCCAGGGGAGGCTCAATATTGTCAAATGATGCAGAAAGGTCAGTTCAAATCATTAAGTATTTTTTAACACAAAGGTCTGTGCTAGATAGAAATACAAAAACAAAAATAAATGGTTCAAGCCTTCAAAGATCTTGAATAAATCAAAAAGTATTTATTATGCAATTATCATGTGCAAAGTATACTATATGCTGGGAAACCTATAGAAAAAAATTAAGACAATCTCTGCTCTTAAGGAGTTCACACACTAATGTAAATTATAACATAAATCTTTTATATATATATATATATGTAGTATATGTATATATACACACACATATATACATATATGTATATATGTATATATACATATATGTATATATACATATATGTATATATACATATATGTATATATACACACATATATACATATATGTTTGCATTTTATATTTATATATGTATATGTATATATAGTTTGTGTGTATTATGAAAGTTGCATCTTCAGTGGCAAAGCCATTTTTGATGTCATTTCCACTGATAAAATCTTATCAGTATCTGATGCTAGACCATTTGACAATGCCAAGGAATTTGAGGGTAAGAACTGGGTCTTCAATAGCTGTGCCTGCAGCTCCCATAGAAGCAGGACCAGTGGTTCCTGGGGCAGGATGTACCTCTTTTGGATTTACCTAGCTGTCAGTTGCAGTTGGTGGTGGTGGTAAGGAAGGTGGACCCCTTATATAATGATCTTCCCTCAAGGATGGCTGTATGGTCCAGGCTTAGAAGCAGGACCAGTGGTCTGGTCTTGGAGAGAATCCAAGGCTGTTGAATTCTGGGTCTTGGGAGGTGGTGATGGTTTTACTTACCTGGAATATGCAATCTCCTGTTTCTCCTTCAGAGTTTGAGTTTACATTCTGCTAGGGGGATAGTTGTATAAAGATAAGTAAATACAAAGTAATTATGGGGCCACTAGCAACTAGAAGGAATCAAAGAAGGCCTCATGTAGGCCATTGCAGCTGAGCTAAGCCTTGAAGTAGTGATTCCAGGAGGTGGCAATGAAAAGAGAGAACTTGTGGGCATAGGAGACAGAATATCATGTACAAGAAGCCATTTTGGTTAGAATGTAGTATGTGTGAGGAAGAGTAATGTGAAGGAAATCTGAAGGGACAGGTTGGAGCCAGATTGTGAGGGACTTTAAATGCCAAACTAGAATGATGATTGAAAAAGGCCATTGGAATTACTGATCATTGGTGATCTATGAATGAGCAGTTTCAGTAGAGTGGTGATGTGGAAGACAAGTTGCAAGGTTTGGAGAGAACAGAGAGGGGTGAGGGACTTTTTCCAAGGAGTTTGAAGGAAAAGGTGGCTACATGGAGGTAGGAGAATACAGAAAAGGCTTCTTTTCAGATTAGTGAGAATTGTTTGCAGGCAGATAGAAAGGAGACAAAGAATTCACAGAAGTTGAGATTGGGCAGGGACCTTGAGGGTCACTTAGCCCAAACCATTCATGAAAGGATTCTCAACTGTTTCCTGCCTGCTAAGTGGTCACCCAGCTTTTTGGTCAAAGATGTCTTAGGAGGGGGAACCTGTTACTTTTCTAAGCAGCCCATTCCACTTTGGGCATACTCTAATTGTTAGAAACTTTTTCTTGGCATTGAACCAAAAATTCTCTCTTTACAACTTCTGTTTGCTGCTCCTGGGTGTGCCTTCTGGAACCAGAGCAATCCTTCCTTCACAGAGTAGCCCTTCACCAACCTGGTTGCCATCCCCTAGATGTTCTCCAGATTATCAATGTCCTTCTTTAACAATGGTACCCAGCACTCAATCCAACACTCTGTGTGAGGGCTAACAGGGAAAGAGCACAATGGAACTTTTGCCTCTCTATTCCTGGAATCTGTGTCTCTCCTAATGAAGCCCGAGATCTCATTAGCTTTTTTAGGTTGTCATATCATACTGCTGTCACCCATGGGGCTTGCAGTCTATTAAAATCTCCAGATCTTTTTCAGTACAACTGCTGTCTACCCATGCCTCCCCCATCTTTTATTTGTGAAGCTGATTTTTGGTAGGCAAGGGTGACTACATTTATCCTTACTGAATTTCATCTTATTAGACACAGCTCAATGCTTTGGCCCGTCAAGGGCCTTTTCAATTCTGATTTTGCCATGTATCCACTGTGTTAGATATCCCTTCCAGCTATGTGTCAGAAGAGAAATTAAGGTACATGTCAGAGTGGAGTATATGGTTGCTGGAACCAATATTCTGAAAGAGACATTATAGAACAGACAGGGAGAGAGGCTAACCTAAGAAGACTAAGGATACCACTTCTTTGACCAGAGGGAAGGAGTAGACTATGGATGATAATGCCAAGTTTATAGGGATAGATTTGACAGAGCTTGTGTTTCATTGAAACAGGAAACTAAGTTATCTTTTATAAAAGTGTGTAGTGGAGATGCACTCAGGAGCTTGAAAATAGAGGGAAAATTCTGGAGTAGTCAGTCACTCTAGGAAATGAGATCATAAGTTGGTTACAGTACAAGGCTTGTCAAGTAGCACTGAGGGCCCAGCTGGACCCTCTGTGTCTGAGCCACACTGGGCATGATAACATGAGGAAACACTTCTTAAAGAAGTTTTCTCTGAGACTTCAATAGCATCTTGTTCACTTTGTCAGCTGTGGATAAATATTTCTGTCCAGATAGAAGGTAAGAGTTGAAGAAAGAGGGTATTTTTGGTATCTTTTGGAAGAGAAGCCAACAGGGCTTAATCAACAAATGCTTATGAAACTCCTACTATGTACAGGACCCTGTGCAAGGTGTTGGGTACACAGGTACAAAGAATGAAACAATCACAACACTGTCAAAGAGCTTAGATTCTTACGGGGGAGGGAGACCAAGTACATGTGAAAATATAGAGAGGATAGCATACAAGATAGCTGAATACAGGGAAGTTTAGGAGAAAGCATGGGGGCGGGATTGGAAAGATTTTATGTAGAAGATGGTACTTGAGGTATATCTAAAAAGAGGAGAGGTGGTGGTGAGGACACGGTACATTTCATACATGAGAGATGGCCAGAGAGAATACCGATGTAGCTGGCTCCCAGAGTACAGGAGGAAGAATAACATCCAGTGAAGTTGGAAAGATAGGTTGGGGCCAGGTTGTGTTGGGTTTTAAAAGAGGCAACCCGAGAGGCAATAAGAATCCAATAGAATTGATTGAGTAGGGGAATCACATGGTCAGATCTGCTCTTAAGGAAACATAGCTAAGCAGCTTTATCTCTTGGGCAAGGAAAACTATCTCAAATTTAAACAGCTTTTGGATAACCAAAAGAATAGTTACTGCCTGACAGGTGGAGATGACATTTAGAATAATATAGAGATAATAATAAAAAAAAAATAATAGCCCCTTCCTTCCCTGTGGGAGCAATTCATTCATATGTCCTTTTTAGAGTGTGAGTTGTCAGGTAGAATTCTGTTCAATTCAACAAACGTTTATTAAGCCCCCAGTATAAATCAGGCATTTTGCCAGGCCTGTGTTTACTAAGATAAGATGGAAACAGCCTCCACCCTCAAATATGTTACCAAGAGGATATAATGCAAAAACACATACAAAGTTATACAAAATGATTTTAAGAATGTAAAAGGGCATTAACACCTGAGGCCATTAAGAAAGGCATCTTGGAGGATTTGCTCCTGAGCTATGCTTTGAAGGAAATGATGGATTATAAATAAGAAGTAGAGGTGATGTTCCAGGGCAGCTAAGATAGAGTGCCAGGCCTGGAGTCAGGAAGACTCATCTTCCCAAGTTCAAATCCAGCCTCAGACACTTACCAGCTGTGTGACCCTGGGTAAGTCATTTAACCTTGTTTGCCTCAGTTTCCTCACTTGGAAAATGAGCTGGAAAAGAAAATGGCAAACCACTCCAGTAACTTTACCAAGAAAATGCCAAATGGGGTCACAGAGAGTTGGACATGACTGAAAGACGACTAAACAACAACGTGCTGTCCCAAGGAGAAAGAGGTTCCCATATTCTACATTGGCTCTGATCTTGATAGAGTGAGGAGTTCCCATGATGAGTTTCCTATCCATACTGTACCCTAACATGTTTACATTGGGTCTCCACTGGGAAGAAATTGCTCCCCTTAACCTATATCCATTAATAAGAGCTCTGGTTTGTTCATATTAGAAAATAAGACCTATCACTGAGAATGGAAAAAGCATTGCACTGGAGGACAAAGAGCCTGGTTTCAAATCCCCGGTCTGTTACTTACTCTTTGGGTGGCCTTAGACAAGTTACTTATCTCTGTTTCTTCGTCTCTAAATGGAAAGGGTCAGACTAGGTTATTTCAAAAGTGCCTTTTATCTCTAAAACCTATCATTATGTGGAGTGCACACACATATGTAAAAACACACACACACCATTGCTATATGTTATTCCAATAATATTTACCATTCTCTCTCTGTATCTTGCACATACTTACATTATACAAGTGTTTTCCATTAGGAGATGAGGTATTGGTTTTGTCCTTCTATTTTAGCACATATATAAGCACTTGATAAATGCTTATTGGTTGGTTGATAAATATAAAGGTGTGTGACCTTTCCACCACAACAATCCTAATATTTAGGTAATACAGTGCCTTACACATAAGAAATATTCATTAAATATTTGTTATTAGAGGCAGCTAGGTAATGTAGTGATTAGAGCACTGGACCTGGATTCAGGAAGACGTAAGTTCAAAGCCATTATCAGTCACTAGTAGCTGTGTGACCACAGGCAAGTCACTTAACTTCTATCTCAGTTTCCTCACCTGTAAAATGGGGTTGATAATAATAGCATCTATTTCACAGGGTTAGTGTTAGGATTACACATTAACAGATGCAAAGCCCTTGGCCAACCCTAAAGCACTATTTAAATGCTCACTATTATTAACTTTTCTTATTAATTTGATTTTTACTCATTCTGATATCGATCTAGATTTGACTTTATGTCCTTGGATATGCATGGTGCTAATTGCCTTGTCATTTTCCTGCTTCTTAGGTGAGTCGCTCTGCCTGTTTAATGACAACACAACTAATATGCAAATTGTTAAGATCCAGAGAGGCAGCAGCAGCAGTAGATGTCAGAACGTGGCCCCCCATACTGGATACAGGTAAGGATTGAAACCAGTCAAATCCATCAGTCCTCATTTACAGCGGACTGCTTAGATCACTTTTGATGCTGAAATACTCTATCTCTGAATCTCTTTTCTTTGAATGTTTCAAAATTTAAGCAAGACATGCTAAAGGTTCTGTTTTGGTCTCCAGATGATTTGCCAAAGAAGCGGCCTGCCCAAATCTACAAACCTTCTAACCCGGATACACTGGCTTACCTTGACTTCAGTGTATCCACAACTGGAATGCTAGCTGGAGTAAAGGTGAGAGTTTTATGTTCAGCACAACCTGCATGCCTCTCAAGGCTCATGAAGCTCTTGTGTTTGTTTAGGGGCCTAATGTTTCACATAGGATCATATACTACTGAGGGTCTATCGAAAGCTTACAAAGGGTTGTAAGTAAAGGAGAGGACAAATCTATGGTGCAGGCAGATAGAGCACTGGACCTGAAATCAGGAAGACTTCAGTTCAAATTCAGCTTTGGACACTTATTAACTGTGGGACTCTGAATAAGTCATGATGTCTCTCTACCTCAGTTTTCTCAATTGCAGTTATAAGGATAATAATGTTACCCAACATTGTCGTGATGATCAAATAAGTAATACTTCTAAAGCACTTTGCAAACCTTCAAGGGCTATATAAATGCCAACTATCATCAGTGGTAATTCAGTGAATTGTGTTCATATCTCCCCTAGAATCTAGCCATGTATAGTAAGTGCCTCATTAGAAGGTACTGTGATGCAATGGAGAGACCTTTTCCAACCCTTATTTCTCTCCTGTGTTCCAGGCTCACATTTCTAACTGTTAGTTTGATATATTATCTGTTATAAAATACCAAAAAACTTTGAATTCAAGGTGTGCCCAGTGGAACTAACCTATGATAACTAATGTGACTGGCAGAGTGAAAACCTCAAAATTGTCTCAACAGGAGAGAACATAAGGGAAGAACCAAAAAAAATCAACTTCAGTAAGAATGGATTAAGATAGAGTAAGCTTGGTTAATTAGCAGTTCATCTGGAAAAGTACTGGCCTGGGAATCAGAATTCATTTCACCCAAAACACTTGTCCCCTCTTTCCTATTTCTCTTCATAGTTGCTGTTGTTGTTATTCATTTATTTCAGTCATATTCAACTCTTTGTGACTCTGTTTTCTTGGCAAAAATACCGAGTGGTTTGCCATTCTCTTCTCCAGCTCATTTTACAGATGAGGAAACTGAGGCAAACAAGGTTAAGTGACTGAGACTGTATTTGAACTCAGATCTTCCTGACTCCAGGATTAGAACTTTATCCACTCTGCCCCCTAACTGCCCCTCTGTTGGTGATACCACTATTCTTCTAGTTCCTAAGGCTCAAAACTCTGGCATTCTCATTGATTCTTTCTTCTCTGTCAAGAGGGTGACATATATTATTGGTTTTATTTCTGAAATAGTCCTTTTACCCTTCCTTTCCTTTCCATTCCTACTACCCTCACACTAATTCAGTCCCTGATAACCTCTTAGTAGGACTATAATAATGGTCTCATAATTGGTTTCCCTATCTCTAGGTTCTTCTCATGGCATTCTGTCATTCACACTATTGTTAGCCTGGCATTCAAGGACTGCCACAACTTGGCTTCCACCTACATGTCCAACTTTATTTCACAATACTTTCACAAACTACACTAATAGCCAAATTGGACTGTGATCTATTCTCCAACCCTGTCACATCTTTCCCACTTCTATCATAGAACATTTTTACTTGAAGTCTTCCACGTTTGGAACAGACTTACTTTACATATTTGCCTGCTCATATCTTTTGCTTCTTCCTAGCCCCTCAAACTAAAGTGATCCCTCCCTTTCCAAATCTCCACATTTGACCTTTCCCATGTGCTTATCACATGCTAAACATTCTATTATTTAAGCTTTAATAGTTTAAAACTACACTAGGACTTTTGGGACACCCTGTATTATGGACAATTTATGTGAATGTCTTATTTTATCAGATGACAAGCTTCTTGAGGACAGAGGTTGTGACATTTTTTAACTTTACATTCCCAGTACCCAGTGCCTTCAACCATGTAGACATTTTAAAATGTTGAATAAAATTCTGCTTTCCATTTAACATCAGGCACATGCTTTAAATTCAGTAAACAATTACAGTCCTAATATTGCCCCTTTCTCTTTTGTTTTTCCTTCCATCTGGCTTGGCTGGGTAGATGGCCTCTTCCAAGAAAATTAATTGTTTTGAGTGTAAATTACAGTGTTTGTCTGCTATGCATAGAGCGTATCATATACTGATTGAGGCTCTTGTGGCAAGAATGTAATTATGGATTTGGCTGAGAATGAGTCCTCAGGTGCAACATTAATGGTGATGTTGGAAGCAGGGATCGTAAGATCCTTGACCCAGAACTTAGAAGGGGATGTCAAAGGCCATCTAGTCTAATCCCCTTTTTTAACTTCCATTTCATTTTCATTTTTTTTTCTTTAGAGGAGTAAATAAAAACATCACATTTGATATGACTTTGTAGATTATTCACATTTAGAGACTTTTAGAAATCTGCTTTATGGTTGCTCTTTCTACTTTGTACCACTAAAGCCTTTAATAAGCCTAAGAAAAATACCATCAACATGGTTCCATTATTCTGGAAGAGTGGACAGGTCATAGATGAAAAGGAAATTTGTTGATTGCTTATCAAAAAAAACCCAGATCTACAATACCTAAGAAATTTTTTAAATAATAAGACCAGATTGTTATCTTTACTCTGATTCTTGCTGTATAAAGTTTGTCAAAAGTTTGTTCAGATCTTTGGTCTTTGTATATTTAGCAATACCAAATATATAGGACTTAACAATTGACTAAGTGCTTTAAATCCCATTATCTCACACTAACACTATAAAATAGCCATCTTACAGAAGAAGAAATGGAGGCTGAGAGGGGGTAAATTGATTTTGCTTAAGGTGACAAGAGGTAGCAAAACACATTTCCGTACATTTCTCTCCCATTCCACCTTGATAAACAGAAGTTTTGAGGGGTGAAAAGAGACAATCGCTGTTCTACCCCCTTTCAGTCTGGTACACATTTAAAAGAAAAAACAAATTATGGGGGAAAAACTCTAAATCTAGGGGTCTTTCCACTTTGTCACACTGTCCCCTAAGGGAAAATGAAGTTATAGTGAAGGCTTCGTCTCTTATGCCCAACTGACATTCCCTTGGGTACCAGGACATATCTGTGTGTGGATGCCAGTTACATGATGCTGATGGCAAAGCACTGATTCACTAACCCATCAAGCAGGGATGTATTTCCAGATGTTATCATCTGATATAATAATAGCTCAGCCCCACTACTCCAGCACAGCCCCACACCAGCCCTTGGTGTCACTGTCCCAGGTGCTGAAAGGCCTCCTATTACTAGGCAGTGATTTTAGTTGATTGCTCTTTTGTCTTACAGATGTCCCATGCGGCCACTAGTGCCTTTTGCCGTTCTATTAAGCTGCAGTGTGAACTTTACCCCTCTAGAGAAGTGGCTATCTGTTTGGACCCCTACTGTGGGCTTGGGTTTGTCCTCTGGTGCCTCTGCAGGTAAGACTCCTCTGATTTCTAAGGAAAAACACAGGTACCCCTTTTCCTCTGGTACCCACCAGAGAAATTCCAGTTAGAACAATTACACAGTTTGAAAGAGCAAGCAGCCTAGAGTAACTGGAATATTTTAGAGATTTTTCTATAGCCCAGGGTGTTTTAGTGCCATGAATAATACATGATTTCATGGGAAGTAGCTTAAAACATTCAGGTTTTTAGAGAGTAGCCAAAGTACTCTTAGCTGTATGTAGGCCTTCTTGATGAGAAAATCAGAACAGCAGTTCTGATTTTATAAGGCTTTGCTGTCTTCATTGGTTTAAGTACCAACGAATCTCAAAACCCACAGAACAGATGTGGAACAACTTTTCTCCCCAGCAAACTTATAAGTCTGATGTTTTGCAAAATGAGCAGATGAGGCAAGGTCAAACTGCCAGGACTATTTTTGTATTTTTCTTGGTTTTAGTCACTATGGAAAACAAATATCACTGAATGGATTTTATATTGGGGGTACATGGTAGCTTTAAATTTTGCCCACCCTCTTCTTTTTTTTTTTTGAGTCCTACTCTTTTATTTTACACATGGCAGAAATAAGCCTCAGCAGGAGAGGTTAAGTGCTTTGCCCATAAACTCAGATAAGCAGTAGTAAACAGGAGAACCAAGATTCAAACTGAGCGCTTTTGGTTCTAAAGCTCATGCTTTTTTGACTATATTATGGTGCCTCTTAGAACACAGCAACATATTTTGCTCAAAAACTGTGACCTTGGGGCCAGTAGAAAGGTATAATAGTTATAGGTCCCTTTGTTCTCTAAAAGTCTCTGTAGAAATGGAACTTTAATGAAGTTACAAAAGAGTGGAGATTGGGACTTGAGCATCCCTGCTCTTCAATGCATGGCCCTGGAACATCTAGCCTTGAAATTTCTAAAACAATAGATTATTCAGAAGCATACAAGAATTTTTTGTCAGTGTTATCTCGCTATGCTTAGGCAAGATATGTATTATGCCAAAGACCCAACAGTGACTAAAATACACAGCAAGGAAACAGTAATTAGCAAATTTATGACCCACTTTCTGTTTATACTCTGTTACAAGGATTGATTTTTGGTTTCCTAGAATAAGCATTTCTACCTTGATCACTAGTCACATATTTACATATATGTATGTATGTATATCTATATAGAAAGATAGATTTCTTAAGTGTTCTTGAATATAATTCATTAATTCATTCAACTAACATTTATTAAGCACCTGTTGTATGCAAAGCACTGTGTCAGAAGAGATAAGAGATAGTCCTGGCTCTAGAAAACTAGACTTTAAAGAGTCAGTCTCCAACTTCTCCCTATCATTCTGCAAATGTCTTAGGTTTTTCATTTCCCAGGTAGGAAATAGGCAAGAGCTCTTATTTAAAGACTAAATCAGCCATCTCATAGCTGAGGTCATTCTCAAAGGTGCTGGTGGAATATCTTGTGCCTTGTCAGCTTCACTTAGTTTTTCCTAATGTTAGTTGCTCATGTTGAACCATCATGCTTTATATGAAAGCAGTCATTTAGTAAATGTTTGTGGAATTGAACTGAATCTAATAGCACTGGAAAAGAACCAAGGAAATGGAGCTAGAAGAGAAAATTCTGGAGTCCTGTGTAAATATTGGGGAGAAGGTAAAATAGAGTAATATGATCAGCTTTAGCTTTCAGCTAAGAAATTCAACTGAGGACTAATTAAGCATTTTTGATACCTAGCCCTGAAAACGTAACAATCTTTGATGTGAGAGGGTGACTATTTAAAATAGAACTGCTCCAAAGAGCATACAAGGCAATCCAATTAAGTCCATGGTTAAGCCTTTTTCACAAATGGATACTGAATAAAATTTTGTATTAGTAAAAATATTATGTTCCAATTCTCGTAACTAGCTCAGAAATGATAAGAGGTATAATGTCTCCCGGTGCATAATTATGATTTATGAGATACATAAAGCATATGCTTGTTAGACCTTGTCCCTATTACCTTGGTATATGATCCCATTTTCAACCCAGAAATTGTTCTCTTATTATCCTTTCAACAGAAGTAAATTTTCTATTATTCCAATTTGTTGCTGCTTAATAATGCTGCCTTAGGGCTTGAGTCTGAGTTAACACACCAGCTTGCAGTCTTCTGAAAGGGTCTCATTCAAAGTCACAATGAGGTATCGATTTCTAGGCTGGTCCTGGAGCTATTCTAGCACTTTACTTGAGTTCTATACATGATATACAAAGTAAGATTGAGAAAATTGTGGCCTCCTTCAGAGAAACTCCATAGCAGCTTACACACACACAACTTGCTGAAATCAGAAGTCACCCCTTCTTGGTCTTTGTAATTTTGCAGAGTGTCAGATTCCTAACATTGTAGAAAGGGGATATGCATTTGTCTATGTCCAGCTCCATGAGGATTCATTATGTATTTGCCTTCTAACAGCATTATTAAAGATCCTTGCCCAAAACCAGGACAAGGGTCTGAATTCAGTAATTAGCATTCTAGATGTGATCCTGGTAGAAGACAGTTTATTATCCTTCTATATCTCCCTTCTGTGAGAAAGGTAGTGACCATGTTGGAATGTGAGTCAGGTATAGGAACTGGCAGGCATCCACTAAAGGCCAACAACAGCTTTCACAAGGGGAAAAATAAATGGGTGTGGTGATCACTGTTAGAACCACTAGTGTGTGTTCATTTAGGACAGGAAAGGGGGGAAGGGGGAGACAAGGGAAAGATTGGAAGTAGAAAAGACCTGGTACAGTGTGCGTGACCCCAAGAGCAGAGGTAACACCATGGTGGCATTAAGCCTCCTGTGTATGATATGATGCAAGCTAAGGAGGATTTTTGCTTTCTAAGGCTATAAGCGATTCAGACTCTAAAAAGAATTTTGGGAATTCTACCACATGTGAAAAGATGGTTGCTTCTGAAGTTTAAAAAAAATTTTCTTTACAAAGCCAGGGTCATAGGCAAGTTGGTAAATGTGTTAGTTCCCCAAATGAAGAGGAAGGACTGATTATAAAGCCTGTCCCAGCCTTTCTTTGAGTCCTCTGTATAGCAGAGTTTATTACTGAAAAACTCAGAGTCCAGTAATCTCAGAATTCAAAGAAACATCAGAGGATATCTGTTCTAAACAGAAAACCTATTCTCCTTTGATACAACTCTCTTAGAAAGATTGTCCTTATTAGGATCACAAATCTGTCTGTAACATCTCTCAATTTTTCTAGTTCTGCCCTCTGAGTCCAAGCAAAACAACTCTCATCCCTTTTTTACAAATGGTCCTTCAACTTAAAAACTCAGGTTTTTACAAACTTTAATGTTTAAAACTGCTAATATTCTCCATTGTTCTACACACAGAAACACCCCAACAAGTCATTTCCTCTCAGGCTATACTCCCCCAGTTTCTTACCCTTGATCCTCAGAACAGTGACCTTAAGAAACCGAGCTCTCAGAACTCTCCATGTAACCTGACTTAGGCTAGACTGCAGCAGGATTGTCACCTTGCTCTTTCTGAACATCATACTTCTCTTAATGTGGCCTATTCACCTTAGCTCTGGGGGCTGTTGGGTTACATTTTCAACTCTTATTGTACTTCCAGTCCACTAAGTCTCCCAGGTATTTTCAAACACAAATAGCTTCCTGGTCATGGCTTGTCCATTCTATACTTGTGCAATTAATGTTTTGCACCTAAGTATAGTGCTTTACATTTGTTCTTATTTAATTCATCTTATTAAATTGGGTCTTCTGTCATAGCCTGATGAGATCCTTTTTTTGGAATCTGATTCTTTTATATAGTATATTAATTAATTATATAGTATATTACTGTATCCATCACTGCTTTGAGTCATTGCCATATTTAATAAGCTTGTCATCTATTCTTTTATCCAAGTCATTGTGAAAAATTATTTTAAAACAAAACAAAGTTAGGAAGGACAGATCCCTGTCACGCTACTAAATACAGTGAGTTGTGCAGGAAACAGAGCATCAGGCTTGGATTCAGGAAGACCTGAATCCAAATCTGGCTTCATATACTAATGAGTTGTGTGATCCTGGGCAAGTCACTTAACCTGTCTGCTGCTGTTTGCTTAACTGTAAAATGGTGATAATAATAGTACCTACCTCGCATGGGTGTTGGGAGGATCAAGTGATATAGGTAATAATAATATGTATAAAGTGTTTAGCACAATGCCTGGCATATGGTAGGGCTGGCTATATCAGTGCTTATTCTCCCCTCACCCCCAAAATGTGTGAGCTACTGGGCTAGGTGATTCAAAGATAAAATAGAAACAGTCACTGTCCTGTAAGAGCTTACATGCTACTGGGAGGGTGGAATGAGAGAGAGAAGGAAGGCAACATATACACTAATAAGTGTTGAAGGGAAGAAGTAAAGAAAGAAACGTCCATTTATCAAGAATCTATTAGTGCCAGATACCGTGCCAAGTGTTTTACAAATATCGTCTCATTTGATACTCAGAACAATCCTGGGAGGTAGACGCTATTATTATCCCCATTTTACAGCTGAGGATCCTGAGGCAGACAGGTTAAATGATTTCTCCAGGGTCACACAACTGGTAGCTGAGGCCATATTTGAACTCAGGTCTTTCTGACCTCAGGTCCACTATGCCACCTAGCTTCTGCCTCTAGCATGTGAAAAGTTAAACAGGGAGATAGTACTAACATGGGGTGGCATGAAAGGTTTCACAGAGGAAATGTCATCTAAGCTGGGTCTTAAAAGAAGACAGACATTGTGAGAGGTAGAGCTGAGGAGACTGTGATATTCCAGGGTAGGAACTGAGTATATAAGAGGCATGAGGTATCAAATTCACGTAGCAACTAGTAGCCTCCAGAATCTGGTTGGAATGTAGTTTTTGAAGAGAAGTAGTAGAGGGGCAGCTAGGTGGTACAGTGGGTAGAATACCTGCCCTGAAGTCAAAACGACTTGAGTTCAAATCCGGCCTCAGACCAAACACTTGATACTTACTAGCTGTGTGACCCTGGATATG